ATGACTTGTATTCCTGGTCATGTTTATTTTTGTTATTTAACTTGATTTGATGTCTCCTTTGATAAGTATTTCCTGTAGTGTAATACTCCTTTTGCTGATTTTCATTGTTGTTTTTCATTTCTTCTTCATGGAATATTTTGCTGAGGATGTTCTGAGTTGCAGACTTTTTAATTGTAAATTCTTTTGACTTTTGGTTATTATGCAAGATTTTTATTTCATCATCAAATCTAAAGCTTAATTTTGCTGGATGTAAGATTAGTGGTTAAGCATCCATTTTCTATCAGAGCTTGGTATATGTTGCTTCACGATCTTCTAGATTCCAGAGTCTAGGTTGAAATATCTGCAGATATCCTAATTGGTTTTCCCCTATATGTAATCTGATCCTTTCTTCTGTGGCTTTTAAAATTCTCTTATTTTGTATGCTAGGCATTTTCATTCTAATGTAACTTGGTGTGGATCTGTTGTGGTTTTATACATTTGGTGTCCTGTAAGCCTCTTGTATTTGATTTATTCTTCATGTTTGGAAAACTTTGATATTATTGAATAGATTGTTCATTCCTTTGGTTTGAACTCTATGCCTTCCTCTATCCCAATAATTCTTAAATTTGATCTTTTTATGTTATTCCATATTTCTTGAATATCCTGCTCATGGTATCTTACCTTCTTCACCATGTGGCCAATATTCTTTTCAAGATTATATATTTTGTTTTCACTGTCTGAGGTCCTGTTCTCTAAGTGATCTCTGTTGGTGGTGCTTTCTATTGAGTTTTTAATTTGGTTTATTGTTTCCTTCATTTCAAGGATTTCTGTTGTTTTTTTTCCCCCAGAACCTCTATCTCCTTATTGAAGTAATCTTTTGCTTCCTGTATTTGCTTATGTGGCTCTTTATTGAAATGATCTTTTGCTGCATGTATTTGTTCTCTTATATCTCCTTTAATTCACAGAACATTTTAATTATGTACACTCTGAACTCCTTCTCAGTAATTTTTTCTGTTGTGCTGGCTATGGATTCTGATAATATAGTATCTTTGTTTGTTTGGGGCAATTTTATCCCTCATTTTTGTTTTTTTATGTTGTTAATATGTCTTCCTTCTAGCACTGTGAATCTGAGGCATTACAGTTTTTACCCTACAGGCTTATAGTGTCCCTGCTGGATTCTAATACCTCTCCTTTCAAGGGGAGAACCATATTAACAGATCCCAATACAAACAATATACAGCCTTAAACCAAATACCTGCTATTAAGACGTTTAAGGTTTTGTCACAATACACAGAAATGGTAAGTTATTAGATCTTAGAAAGCGTGAAAGAGGAATCTAAATAGTTGGTTAGTAGCAGGAGAAGAGAGAGAAAGTGGTTTTGGGGAGACAAGTAAGTGGGAAGACAATAGAGTACAAAAAACAAACAAATATTAAGAAAAATAAAAAATGTAAAAATAGGAGATAAAAGAATATATAACACAACTGTAGTATAGTATTCATACATCCAAGTCCTCAGTAGCCTAATTCATGAAAAGTACTTGGTTTCAAAAATGTCAGGGATGTGAGGGTGAGAGAAGAGAGAAAAAAAAATCTTGAAGGAAAATACAAGGATTGTTTTTGCTGGAGATCAGTATCTTTCCTGCTACCCTTCTTGTCCAATAGGTGGGGTTGTCTGTTGTTTGCTGGTAACTCCACCCTCAGGATGATGAAAGTTATTAGGGTGGGAGGGTTGGTCTTGGGAGCGTAGCTCCTGGAGGTGGGCTATAGCACTTGCCTGTCCCTGATGGGAGACTGCACCCCAAGGATCTCCTTTGGTGCCTGCTTGTATGATGTGTGCTCTTAGTCTTATCTCCTCATATCACCTGTAAACCTCAAATTCCTGGTCTCTAAACTATTTCACTCATCCCCTCCCTTTATACTTCCCAATCAGAACCATTCTCTCCAGAGGTCTTTGGGCTGTGCTCTGCAGGCTGTGTACCTGTCCTGGAGAGTTGTTTTGTATTGGGCAGTTCAGAACCAGGTTTTGTGAGCTACAAGATTGATGGCGTAGCTGCAAGCACTGTGGCAGGTTAGGGAATGACAGGGAGATGGGGGAGTTGGGGACAAAAGTTACCTTGATATTGCTTTTAAGCCCCAGCCAGTGTTCCAAGTTGGGGGTTGCCCCAACTAAAGATGGCAGTGAAGGTGTCCCAAGATGAAGGTGGCTGCTTTCAGCAACAGGGTGTCCAGTCTGGTGGGGCTAGATAGTGGTGAGGGGCAGTGTGTTCAGAGGTAACAGTTCTGTGGCATGCTGTGTTGTGGCTGACAGCTATCTCCAGACCCTGTGTACTATCCCCAGGTGTAGGCTACTGCATGTAGTGGACTATGGCAGTGGTTGCAGTTTTCCAAGATGGAGGTGACCAGGGAAACCTCCATCTTGGGATATATTTCTGTTTGTTTTTTGTACTCTATTGTCTTCCCACTTACTTGTATCCCCAAAACCACTTTCTCTCTCTTCTCCTGCTACTAACCAACTATTTAGATTCCTCTTTCACGCTTTCTGAGATCTAATAACTTACCATTTCTGTGTGTTGTGACAAAACCTTAAACATCTTAATAGCAGCTATTTGGTTTAAGATTGGTAGATGGGGGGTCCACAAGGGAGGGGCAGCCAGAGTTCCTGCATGTGGGCAGTGGCTGGGTGTCCTGTGTGGGAGCTGTGGCTGGGATTCCTGTATGGGTGCTGATGCTGGTGGCCCTACTTGGGCACTCAGACAGAGGTCCTGCATGGGTGAGTGGCTGGGAGTTTTGCACTGCAGCGTGTGACACAGTGGCCATGATTACTGCATGGGAACAGCTGTTGGGAGTCCTCTAATCACTTGCAGAGAAACAATATTCCCACTACTTGAGTCCCAGGGTCACAGAGCGACACAGAATGCAGCAGTCCTCTACCCGCCATCTTAGATCTGAACTTTTATTTTTCATAAATGGTAATTGATTATATTTTGTGATACATTTAGGTATTTTAAATTTTGAAATACATTAAATATTGTTATACTCATTTTAATATAAAATTAAAGCTTTGAAATACATTAAATATGATTTACTAATCTACTATTTTACTGTTTTTTATGAATTCTAAACTTTCCAATTAAAAAAATGATATATTGATGTCAATACATATTTGAATATCAAACAAAATAAAAGATATCAAACAATTATCTTTCTTTGATTATTATAAAAATCACATTTTCTTAAAAACCCTTACATGACAAATTACCTTCAGAACTTAATTTCACAAAACCTTTTTCTACTTGCATATTACTTCTGTAAAAAATGATAACCATGTAACTCTTTTCTTCTTTGTACTGGCAGCTAGGAGGCTTAAAGGTAAAGCTTCAGTTAGATGGGGTTTCTTGCAAAGCTTTACCTTTTATTTTTATCTTTTATGTTGTGAATGTTTTTACACCTTTATATTTAGTAAAAGTTAACTCATATTCTTCTCAGAGAGAAAAGGGTTATGAAGAAATAAACAAATAGAAGGTACTTTTTTATCTTCACAGAAATCCCTATGAAGTTGTGAGTGTAAACATTCCCAGCTTTTTAAATGGGAACATAAAAAGTGATTTAATTCAAGTTAGAAAATTAGAAAGGCAAACAGGTATTATAATACAGACAAGAGTCCCCCATTTACAACTTCTTTGTACTATTCCTACCAACATACCATCACTTCGTTTTACACATTTTCTAACATGCAGAAAGTATCCCAAAACAGCTCCTGTAGAACTAACATCTGAATGAGAGGAATCCCCATGATAAGATGTTTAACTAATACTGTCCCAGTGCTTGAGATAACTTCAAATGTTCCTCCATGTCAAATGTTCCTCCATTTGGTCACCAAATGGCTTACTTCTGTATAAAAGAAACAAATTTGTTTATTTTTCATTGATAATTATACTTGTTACATTATTTAAATAATCAATTTTCTACTAAGGCCAGGAAACATACTAAAAGACATAAAAATCTAGCATTTGTGTAATAATAAGGGTCACAGTATCTAATACCTGTAGTTTACGTAAGATCAGGTGACAATATTTCTAAAAAGTTCCAAAGCAGAACAACTTACAGGAAGTTACTTTATTTCTCTGCATTACATTTTAAAGTCACATAAAAATTATTTGGCTATATGAAATTTGTATATTCTTCCTTAAAGAAAATAAACATCTATAGAGATGGTTGTAGAAATACCTTTGGTATTCATTACTGGTGATACTGAATAGAATTTAGATTTAGCGCTAGATATAGGTGAGACCATTAGCTGAAAACTACACTTACCTCTTTGGTCCAAAGAACTAGACCATTATTATGAATTAATAAATATCACAAAATGACTTAAATCACTACATGTTTAGTGGCAGAATCTAATGATTAAATATTTACTTTCTAGAAATGATAAGAAACCTTAGAAAATTATATTGCCTTAATCATTTTAGAGGAATAGGAAATTAAAGATGAGATAAAGGGACTTGTCCATCCAAGATCATCTACTTCGTGGCAGAATGGGGACTATAAACAAGCTGATTCATGATTGAAGACTGTTCTCATAACACCATAATATATCAGTCAAAATCTAACATGCATTTGATTTGAAATTTTGTTTAAACTGTGAATTAAAAGCTAAGCATGACATAGCCTAAAACAGCAAAATCTTTTTATAAACTCATATTTTTAGCTAACAGACAACTAGAAACCAAATAGCAATGTTACTGTAGGACAGCTTGTGAATATATTATTCAAAGTGAGTATAGGGCTGGGGTTCTGGCTCAGTGGTGGAGTACTTGCCTAGCATGCATAAGGCACTGAGTTTGATTCTTAGCACTGCATATATATAAAAGGTACATCAACAACTAAAAAAAAAAATTAAAAAGTGAGTATAATGATGCCAAACTTGAGGTTTTCTAAGATATTTTAAAAATCACAAGTATTTCTATTAGATATTTCAGGGTTACTAGAGAAAAATGCATTCATGCAGACAAAGGAATAAACTTCTGGAAGAAGAGCTAAAGAGAAGTTTGGAAGCTCTTTCTTATCTATTCATTCCTGAAAAATGTATCGAACATTAACTTCACCAGTTGAATAGTACAGATGGAAAAAAAGAAGGAAGTAATAGAAATCCACCCAGTTCCGGAATTATGGATTGAGTTTTGGAAGGTGGTTTGATTTTACAATCTTTTTTACTGGTCCTTTCTTGGCATTCACTGTCTTCTGATGAACTGGATTGTATCTCCCCCTGAAATAAAATATACATTGATCATGATTTTTCAGTCACCAATATGTATAACAAAAACACTATGTACCACACATGCAGAACTGTACATTGCAGCTTGTTCCATCTTTCACATGGAAATCTTCCTATGCATATTTATTGCTTAAAGTTCAGTTTTAGAGAGTTATATTTTATACCACATCATCTCACCACAACTAAAGAGGCAGCCAACTCCAGGGTAGATTCACCAAACACTTGGAAGAAGCCCTTCAAGTGCTCTAACATGGAAAGTTCTAAAGAGAAATGACTTGCATCTTTTTTATATTTACCCTGATAACTGAATTGAAGCTAAGGAAATAGAAATACAGATGCTATAAAATAGAACAGGGATAGTAAAGCAGTAAGTATCTATGAATTTGTGTCCTTAAATTTTCATAGGATCCTCTTATCCCTTTGTATATAAAACTAATCTTGCTTATATTCTTATTTGAGACAGTAAGAGGGCACTTTTATCTCCTGCAATATGCTTTTAACATACAAATTAGAGACCGATGTCAGCAAAAATGACAGAACCTGTTGGTTTCCTCCTCACAAAGGAGAAAAATTCTCTTCTCCATAAAAGCAATGACAAACTCAAAAATGTTGAGAAGCAATTTTCTTAGAAGTCTGGGGTATTAAACAACAAGCAACAACAAAAACAGTGGAAATTCAGTAAGAACTCTTGAGATATGTAGTTTTTCTTTAACTTACCCCATTCCTATCTTTTGCCCCTCACCTCTTACCTCCCTGAATAACTCTGTAGTAGCCTTGAAAATAAATATCCCTCAATTATAGTGAAAACCAACAGTCTGAAAGACACCATAGGAGGCAAACAGAATGAAGTTATAAATCCTTTAAAGCCTCATTATTTGTTCCCAGAGAATTTTCATTATTTAAAGTCTAGTGATTACCCAATTATAAGGCTATTTTTATTTGACCCAACTTGGAGATGATCCAGTGTAAAAAGCTTTGTCAGTTGGGCATTTGTTGGAACTATTAGAAACCATTATTTAACTTTATACTGCTTGAGTCAGTAAATAGCAATAAATAAGAGGGGCAAAAAAAAAATAACAAGGAAACTTAAAAGGAAAAGCAGGGGAGTAAGCATTAATAAACTGTGATAGCTTGGAATCTAGATGTCCATACTCAAGTGTCTTACATACATGCATAGGATTTGTGTGCCTTCTCAGGAAAGATATGAGAAGGCCCTTAGCTGTTGCCTCTGGTTGACCTTGAGTCTCTGTGCACAAGCAGAAAATGAAGGCTAAGGCAGAGTTCTAATTTTCCTGGATGAGTATTAAAGATATACCAAAACATACACATGCAGAAGAGTTCAACAGCAGACTAGAGATAGAAGAGCCAGTGAAGTTGAAGATAAATCAATTAGGGTTGTTCATTTTGAGCAATGGTCAATAAAGAATAAGAAAAGTGAAGAGGGCTTCATATGTACTAACAAATGTATAATGGGTATACCTGAAGGAGAGGGGAGAGAAAACATGGCAGAAAGAATACTTGAAAAATAATAACTGAAAATTTCCCAAGTGTGATGAAAAACATTGATCTAAGAAATTCAATAAATTCCAAGAAGAATAAATACAAAAAGATCTACATTCAGACATATCAAAGTCAGGCTATTAAAAGAAAAAGAGAAAATCTTGAAAGCAGCTTAGAGAAGTAATTCTGTATGTACAAAAAATCCTCAATAAAATTAGCAGTGAGTCCTCATCAAAAAACCATGGTCTACTTGAAGGCAGTGGGATGAAATATCCAAAGGGCTGAGGAAAAAAGACTGCTAAGACTTCAAATGCAACAAAAAATATCATTCTAAAATAAAAAAAGAAATTAAAATAATCCCAGAAAAACAAAAACTAGAGGAGTTCTTCCTTAGCAAACCTGCCCTATAAGAAATGGTAAATGGAGACTTCCAAGTTGAACACTAGAAAGTAATGCAAATTCACATGAAGAATAAAGAGACCCATTAAAAGTAGTTACATAGGGAAACATAATAAAAGATAGTAAAAATGTATTTTTGTTTATAGTTACTTTAAGTCTTCTAACTGATTAAAAATAACTCACTCCTAAAAATGACTGTGTGAACAGGAAGAAAATCTTTACCACCTGTAAGACGATACCATATCAAAGCATTAATATTAAGGATATACAAAGAACTCAAAAACTTAACACCAAAAAACAAATGACCCAAAGGAACTGAACAGACACTTCATAGAATAAGATGTATGAATGATCAACAAACGTGAAAAAATGTTCAACATCTATAGCAATTAGGGAAATGCAAGTTAAAACTACACTGAGATTCTATCTCACTCCAGTCAGAATGGCAATTATCAAGAATAAGGGTAACAATAAATGTTGGTGACAATGTGGGGGAAAAGGTTTACTCATACATTGCTGGTGGGACTGCATATTGGTGCAACCACTTTAGAAAGCAGTATAAAGATTCCTCAGAAAACTTGGAATGAAACCACCATTTGACCCAGTTTACTCACTCCTCAAAATATGCCCAAAGGACTTAAAATCAGCATACTACAGTGACACAGCCACATCAGTATTTACAATAGCTTAAATAACAATAGCTAAGTTATAGAACCAACCTAGATGCCTGTCCTTGAACAGATGAATAGATAAAGAAAATGTGATATAAATGTACAGTGAAATATTACTCATCCATAAAGAAGAATAAATTATAGCATTTGCTGATAAATGGATGGATCTGGAGACTATCATGCTAAGCAAAATAAGCCAATCTCCAAAAACAAAGGCTGAATATTCTCTCTGATACATGGATGCTAACAAAACAATAAGAGGAGGCAGATAGAAGTTCATTGCATTAGACAAAAAGAAATGAAGGAAAGGGAGAGAGGATAGGAATAGGAAAGACAAAATGAATCATACATAACTTTCCTGTGTTTACATATGAATACATGACTAGTGAAACTCTACATCATGTACAACAAGAATGGGATCCTAAGTTATACTCCATGTATGTCTAATATGTCAAAATACACTCTACTGTCATGTATATCTAAACAGAACAAATAAAATTAAAAAAACTGAAAAACAATACTTAGAAATCTGTGGATGGAAGGAAACAAGATGCAAAAGGAAGTGATTTGCACAACAACAGCACAAAGGAGGAGGGAATTGAGCGTAGGATAATTTTGGAATCAAGCTGTTTTTAATCTCAAGTAGATTGCTAACTAAGATATTAATTATAATCACCAGGGCAACCACTGAGACCAGGACCAGATGGCTTCACTGATTTTACAAATATACAAAATCAATCCTTTGCTAACTCTTTATAAAAATCAAAAAGAAGAGAATATTCCCTAATTTTTTTTCTATGAGGCAAACTAGATTTATGTTTTTGCTTTTGCTTGCTTTGGATTTGGTCTGTTCTTTTCGACATTTTTTTTTCCAATACAGACATTTATAAGTATAAATTTTCTTATAAGCACTAAGCTTGAAAATGGCATCTATTGACAAAAATCTATGACCAATATAATTTTTAAAGATTTAAAACTTTCCCTTTAAGACCAGGAACAATTTAAAGATATTTACTATTATTGCTTCTATTCAATATTATATTAGAGGTACTAGCCTGGTCAATTAAGGAAGAAAAATAAATAAAAGATATCCAATGTAAAAAGGAAATACAAATCAAAATCATAAGATATTACTTCACATATAGGAGAGTTAAAATTTTTTTGTAATGTTTTGAGCAACCAATTAAAAATTTTTTTAAAAAAGAGTTTTTTTTAAATGGCAAGTGTTAGTAAGAATGTAGAGAAACTGGAACCCTAAAATACATTACATGGGAATATAAACAGTATAGTTACTCTAGAAAAGAGTTTAGCAGTCCCTTAAAAAGATAAACAGACTAGAGTTGATTTAGCAATTGCATTCCTAGGCATATACCCAGGATAAACATATACATACAAAACTTCTGCAGAAAATTCACTGCAGCATTATTCATAATGCTGAAAAGGTGTAAATAACCCAAATGTCCATTAACTGATGAAGGATAAACAAAATGTGATATGCCGATACCTGGAATATTATTCAATCACAAAAAAGAATAAAATACTGATACATCCTACAATGTAGATGAATCTATAAGCAATTATTCTAAGTGACATACGTTAAACACACAAGCCACATGTTCCATGCTTTCATTTATATGACATAACAAGAATAGAAAAATCCACAGAAGCAAAGAAGACTATTAATTAAGAAAGGTTTGTGGGATGGATGGATAAATATTCCTTTTGGAAGATGAAAATGTTCTAAAAGTAGTTAATGGTGACAGTTGCACAACTTTGTAAATATACTGAAAATCATTGAGCTGTATTGTTTCATAAATTGTTTCAGTTATATATGAATATGTGAGCACACTAGTCATAATATGGTATCAACCAAGATCAACAAAAGTTCAGAAAGAATATTACCCTCCTGTGTATTGTGGGGTTTAAATAAATGATAGTAACTGTACCCCTTGGAATATTATGTTAGCACCTTTAGTTTCAAATCATTCAAATCACATATATTTTTTTCTTCTTACAAATGGATGCTTGGCTACTTTTCAGATTATTTATATTTGTAACACTAAGGATTATAGCTAATGTTTACTGAACTTAAGGTTTTTCAACAACCCCTGATTCTCATACCAACCATTCAATTTGGATTTCATCATCCTCATTTTATTGGTGATTAAACTGAATCTGAGAATAATTATTTATAGAAGCTACATTAAATAATAGAAGTTGGAGACAAAGTAGATTTTTCTATCTGCTCCAAAACCAGTGCAAAATTTTCAATTACCACCTTGCATTTTCACTTTTTAAAAAATATCATATAGTATTAGTTACATAAATATTTTCACTGTTATTTTGGCTTGGGGACTTCTGTAAGATATCTTGTAGATATATTTTCTCTCAATTTTTCTCTTTTAAGATAATTTTAAATGATTATAAAGGATCCATAGTCATATTGAGAATACTAGGAGTATAAATACAAATCATCCATAATCCCATTATACTATTTTTTATTATAATTTTTATTTACTACTATATGTTAGCATTTTCTTTGACAGTTACATATTCTAGAATTTAATTTTTCAACTTTATATAATACCATAGTTTTTTAAAAAAATTATTCCCTTAATGTTGGATATGTTAGTTTTCTTAACTGTAGCTGTTTTCCTTCTCAAAAGGACATTGCCTTAATAATCTCCCTCTTAATGAGTCCTAAAATTAATTTCCCTTAGGTTCTTTTATTCCAGAGCATTACGGAGTGCTTTGTTATTTTCTTCCTCTAGGGCCTTTAATCACTCTAAAAAATTTTCATAAGCAGGAAAAAAAATGAGGCAGCACACTAAAGAAAAGAAATAAACTTTACAGTTTACTGCTTTTAAGAACCACTGCTTTGGTTTCAGTTTTATGCTTCTTACTTGAAGAAATACATGCCAAGGGTCATAGTCAAAGTTACCTGTTAGTTTGTTTAGGATATTTTGGGATCATCCAAACCTAATCCCCAAAAGAATACTTACTTATTTATCTTTAAAAAGCTTTATTTTCAAATCTACATATATAAGTATCTCTAGAATAAATCTTTCAACAGTAACAAAGATATCTTAATGATTTGTGGCTGTGGTTTCACACAGTAGGGATATAAGAGTTAGTATATTCCATCAGGCACTATTCCTCTTTGATAGAGTTTTAAAATACAATTTCACATTAGTTTGTTATTTTCTAATGTCCTAATTTGCTCTGGATATTAGAAACACTTAATAAGTCAGTATTTTAAAATTAGCACTGCTATAGTTTTGATGTTTATTGGTATAGGTGGGATGTAAATTGGTGCAGCCAATATGGAAAGCAGTATGGAGATTCCTTGGAAAACTGGGAAAGGAACTACCATTTGACCCAGCTATCCCTGTCCTCGGTCTATACTCAAAGGACTTAAAAACAGAATATTACAAGGACACAGCCACATCAATGTTTATTGAAGCACAATTCACAATAGCTAAACTGTGGAACCAACCTAGATGCCCTTCAGTAGATGAATGGATAAAAAAATGTGGCATATATACACAATGGAATATTACTCAGCAATAAAAGAAAATAAAGTCATGGCATTTGCAGGTAAATGGATGACATTGGAGAAGATAATCCTCAGTGAAGTGAGCCAATCCCCTAAAAAAACAAATGCCGAATGTTTTCTCTGATATAAGGAGGCTGATTCATAGTAGGGTAGGGAGGGGGAGCATGGGAGGAATAGATGAATACTAGACAGGGCAGAGGGGTAGGAGGAGAAGGAAGGGGGCAAGAAGTTAGCAAGGATGGTGGAATGTGATGGACATCCTTATCCAAAGTACATGTATGAAGACACAAATTGGTGTGAACATTCTTTATATACAACCAGAGATATGAAAAATTGTGCTGTATGTGTAATAAGAATTGTAATGCATTCGCTGTCATTTATTTTTTAAAAATCAATTAAAAATTTAATAAATAAATAAATAATTTTTAAGAACTGCATCTATATTTCAGTGACCACTGCAAATGACCATACTTCCTCACTAAAAAGGTAAGGGCTGACACTTCAATTCTGTTTATACTGTTACTAATGGTGTAGTTTTAAGCTTTCATTGGATACTACATTGTTTTAGTTTAAAAAATAAGTTCTTCCCATGTTTAAAAGCTAAAAATGTTTCTGGGAATTTAAAAAAAAGTGTAAAAATAGTGAACAGAGATCACAAACTTTTTAAGTTCTCTTACCATCTGCTATTTTATACTGTTGCTATAAAATCTAGAAGTTCCACTTCCAAAATGTAATGGACACCCGTTTTGTCATTACCATTCACAAGCAAATATAATTAATTAGAAAGAAAACATATAATTAGACTTACGTTTTCACTAGATTCTCTTTCATTCTAGGCAGTTGATCCATCTGTTGCCTTTTAGAAACTTGATGTGCGCCAGAGACCTGAAATACAAAAAACTGAGTGTTTATCCTCTTCTTTAATGATGAATTTCAGAGGGAAGAAAAAATAGTCAAATATCCAACTCCTTTACCACCAGGTCCTTTAGTAGCATGTGTAAGAGAAGCTGAATAATAATGGGAAATTCTGATTTCCAGTATAAACAAGCGTCTAAAGATTCTGGAAATACCCCTATCTCATCCCCAGAGACCATATAGAGAAATATCCACATAGAATAAATCATTACAAGTAAACATAAAAGTAAAAGTATATAAACATATACTCTGTCTTTATGATAGATAAAACAATAGAAACATAGATATAGTACAGCAGAGACAGAAAGACAAGTTAATATATTCATTTCTGTCTATTTTGAAATTCATCCATTATACAAAAGTGGTGACTTTCTGTGAATGGTGTAAATATAATCTTCCATTCAGGAACAACTAAAATTGATTAACTTAGAGATGGCAATTGAAGTCACTAAAAAAAATGAGATCATACAGTAAGAGTAATACAGAGAAGTAAAAGACACAATAATATAAAGCTGAAAGCAACTTTTAGGGGATGGGAGACTCATTGAAGATATGCCATCATTTAAACATCAGAAAAACCCAAGAAAAAAAATGTCATGCAAGTCAACTGTGTGTATTGGGGCTAGGGCATATATTCAAAGATGTGGGCAAAGACTGCTAATACCACAGGTTTTAAGAAGAGTCTTTGTATGTAGCTATGAAATGATAAACGGGGGCCATAGTGTTGGGATCAGAAGATAGATGAAAAGAGACTGAGGGGTATACTCAAAGCAAAGTTAGTGAGTATACCTACTCTTTCATGAAATTTGGCTGAGAAAAAGAAATCTATGGTGGTAGTTTTATGAGAAAAGTTGGAATAAAATAAAAATTTTTTGGTTGTTATTTTGGTGGAAGAGTTGCATATTGCAAGCAAAGGATAAGCTATAGTCAGTAAAAGAGAAAATAAGAGGAAATTATTATTGAGTCCTAGAGGCAGCAGACAGACTTGGGAAGAAGACTGGAATCCTTTTCTCTAAGACAAGAGGGGAAAACATGAGTGGTAGATAAAGGTGTGTATAATCTGAAGGTAAAAAGAACAACTAGATTTTATATCTGATAGACCCCCCAACTCCCTCTGCCTTGCCCCCTTGCCATCTCTCTTTTTTGATCTAAGATATTAGATCATTTGCTAACAGTGACAGGTTTGAGTGTGTTGTACTGGAATTCATTCATTCCTTTATTCATGTCCTTTATTCATTCCTTTATTCATGTCACCACCACATTATGGACCAGGAACAAAGACAAATAAGTCACATTTCTATTGAGGAAATAGCAAAACAAATAGAAGATTACAATTAACGTCCTTGATAAAGGTTTGCATGGGTGCTTTGTGAGCTTACAGCTTGTGAGATGCAATTAATTCAGGCTGTAGGGGACACATGTAGAATAGTAACCAGTTAAGAACTAGAGAAAGGATATTCTACCTAGAAGGAACAGCAAGGACCTCAGCTAAAAAGCAGCATGATAGATGCAGGAACTGCAAATAGCATTTGGTCTAGATGCACCACAGATGTTAGCAGGGAAAAGGCTAAGACAGGCACTGCCATGTTGGGAGAGGACTTTGTTGACAACACCAAGGAGCTCTGCTATGATCTTTTGGGCAAAGCAAACAGAAAGTATTATAAAAGGAAATTATGCCATGATAACTGTATTTTAGATTGATCACTTAGGCAACAGAGAAGAAAAATGGGTGTGACAGAGACAAGACTTTGCTTGATTTTAAAATGAACAATAACAAAATAGAGTTTTCCCAAAAGGCAATGGAAATGCAGGGACAGTCTGGAACCTATATCATGAGAGATAAAATCAGTGAATTTTAAGGAATTTTCAGGGAAGGAGAATAAGAAGTACTATCTCATGTGTTTTAAGAACAAGTCTATGAGTTAAAACTGCCTGATGATGAATTTAGAACCACCTCAGATTCCCTGTGAGTAAACCAAAATCAATATATTCAACAATCACTCAGACCCACTGCAAAATTCAGTGTTTATGGGAAACTTAAATTTAAATTTATCAGGTATTGCTACAAGCTGTAGTCAGTTTTACCACTTGATTTTTCAGAGATGCAATGTACCTGTGTATTCTTAAAAAGTAATACCTATGGGCTGGGGATGTGGCTCAAGCGGTAAGGCGCTCGCCTAGCATGCGAGGGGCGCTGGGTTTGATCCTCAGCACTACATAAAAATAAAACAAAGATGTTGTGTCCACTGAAAACTGAAAAATAAATATTAAAAAATATCTCTTGGGGCTGGGGATGTGGCTCAAGTGGTAGCGCGCTCGCCTGGCATGCGTGTGGCCCGGGTTCGATCCTCAGCACCACATACAAACAAAAATGTTGTGTCCACCGAAAACTAAATATTAAAAAATTCTCTCTTTCTCTTTAAAAAAAATCTCTCTCTCTTCTCTCTCTCTCTCTAAAAAACAAAGTAATACCTATACTGTGCATACATTGTGCAAATTAGAATAATTCTGAGATGGGGCAATTCAGTTTCAGTCAAAACAGTGGTTTGAGAGTGAGACAAAGCCTCAGATATAGTTGCAGAAGTATAAAAAGCAGATTCAGCAAATAGCTCTAGTTATCTACCAAAGAATCAATTTCCATGTATTCAGCATGGAAAGAACTGCAAATCATCCATTAACCTTTCCAGTCACTGCAGTATCCTCATGGTCAGAACCATCTTTGACTATAAAGATTTAACAATTCAGTTTAGAGTGAAAATCCTTATTAACATTATACTGGAGATAGGATTAACATCTTCCCTGGAAGCTGTTAAAATAGGCTTTGATTGTACATTCAGTGATCTTGTATAGTCAGAGTAGGCTTATTCCACCTAAATGATTTTTTTTTAAAAGATAAACAAAGGCAAATGAATGCTTCATGGACAAAAGACTTTTAATTTTAACCTTTAAAAAAAAACTTCAGTGTTTTACATACCACCTTTTGTGTAAGGATTTGAACTTTTCATTATCTCCATAATTCTTATTCATAAATTTTGTACTATGTTCAATTTGGCAAATCATTTTGAACATTGATTATTTGCCACTCTTTTTGCTCAGTGTAAAGTAACAGCAAGAATGAGGCACTCTGACTGACCTCAGGAACCTACAGCTAAGTGAAGATTAGTCAAGGATCTAGAAAGCAATTTGAAATTTTGATGGTGCTGTCACTACACAATATGTAGAATATACATATGGACTAGTGTGTTCAAGAAAGAAAAAAAACAGGAAAATAATACTCACCATTAATTGAAATCTAGAACCTATAATGTGCCAGGTACTATACTTAGCACTTCACATAAACCATGTCTCTAAGCACTCACAGAACCCTGAGACTGATACTGACATCATAAAGATTCTCCCTTTCTACAGGTGAGGAAAGAAGTGGTCATACAGCAGTTAGGTGCAGAGCTGGGATTCAAACCCAAATTTGCAATGGCTCCACTATCTGTGGTCTTTTCATCATGTGAAGGCCTCATGAAGGAGGTGGTGTTTGTGCTATACCTTGAAGGAGATGGAATTAGCATGTATGAGAAAAAGAATATTTCATGCAGGGTATAGAGTCAGATGAAAGGCACATGGGTACCCGTACCTTTGGAGGAAGCAGTGCTTCCAACTCATTGTCAAGATCCATGAAGTTTAAGTTGACTGTCCATTTTATGGATGAGAGACTACAAGCACTGATTCTACCTTAGCTCCATTTCCTGCTTAAGCTTGGTGAACACTACAAGTCCAAGTTTCCTTTTACCCACCATTTTGCTGACTTTTATTCTCATATTTTACTATTCATCCCATTTTTGGCTCCAATTCCCAAACCTAAATCTCTTTCTCTTAATCCTTTCTTGATCCCTCTAGATACTCTAGATTTGATGAGCAGGTTACCTTTTGGATCAAGCTCACTCTCAAGGTACTCACTCTACCTCATTGTCTAACTGCTGTGCTTTGAGGATCCCAACCATTTTTGTTACTCCCATAACTATCACTGTCTTCAGAATTATAGCCTATCTTTTCTTTTAACCTTATTTATCCTCCCTGATGAATTTAATTCATTCACATGACTTCTCTTACTATCTATATGATAGTAATTTCCAAATCTATCTCTAAAGTTTAACATTTTCCTGAGATTCCCATATCCAATTACTCTTTGGACTCTTCTGTTTGGATAACATACTTTTAAAACTGAACTCATATCCTAATCTTAAAATATATGCCAAAATAAAGGTAATATAGCTTAAATATTTAAATATTAAATAATAAGCCATGTAAGTATTAAATGATGCTGTAAACATTATGAAACATTGAGATGAAGATTATCTTTTAAACTATGACATAAGAAACCATAAATAAAAGAGCTCTGGCAATGTAAAAATGCTCTAAAATTCCAACAATATCATAAGTAAAACTGAAAGACAAATGAAAAGCTGAAAATATGTGCAAGATAGTGTACTGATAATTTTCCTGACTTATATTTCTATGAATAGCAATACTGTGTCTATAATTATGAAGTGATAGCTAAAGGATAGCAGCTTATCTGTTTGAATTCTAGTGATCATGGATCAAACTAAAAGGATAACTAAGGAAACAGATATTCAAGATAATCTCTTAATTAGGGAGACTGTTTTCTCTCTTTATAAATTATGTACTTCCCTTTCCATCTTCCATATTTAGAAACTTAGTAACATTTCCCCATAATTTCAACAACTGTTTATCTAACCCAACACACACACACAAATTATAGAAAAATAAAATACATAACTTAAGGAGAAGGGAAAGCCTTAGAATTTGAAAGTAAAAGAAAAAAATTACCTGAGACATTTCAGATATGTATTTACAGCGTTCACTGTTGATCTTGTGGTAAGCCTATGTAGAATATACAAATGTAAAGAATCCAACATAAGAGAAGATTAGCAAGAAAATTGCCAAGTTAGGGTTCATGTCTCCTGCTTTTTTGTTAAAACTGTAGGAAATGGTTTTGTACCATTTTATGAAAATGATATAGTAGGTTTGTAGATAACCCTAGAAATAAAGGCAGCTTCAAATGAATTGTTTAGTAGAATAAAAACAAACCTTTGATTCTTGTTCCAGTTTAAGTGCATAGTCTTTCACTTGATTTTCAAGACTTCTTTTTTCTTTTTCTAGTTGTTTAAGTAATATATTTAAGGATTCCTGAAAGTATAAATAGTAAATTTTATATGTACTCATATCCTAAGACCAACAATAGAAATGACAACCAAATTCTTCACCAATGAATGCCTTCTATACCTAATATTCTGTGATCTTATAATTCCAGTAATAGCAATAAAATAATCAAAATATTTGTTGAGCTCTAACACTTGTATTATATATGTATTATATATCACATGTATTATACTAAGTTCTTTCACTAGATTATTACAATACTTGAGATGCCTAATGTTTGTTTCCACTTTACTGTTTAGAAAACTGTGTCTTTTAGAGTTTATATAACTGGCTCAGAGACATAAAGCTCATCAATGATAGAGCTAAAAGTAGAACTCAGATAAAATGACTCCAAAGGCCAGACATGCTGAAAAATTATTTGTATTAACAACAAGAGGTAGTTATACTGTTGCTACCATTGTAACAAAAGAGGTACATGTAAAGACACTTAAATACTATATCCTATATAATTTAAGTCCATTTTTACGTGCTGATGAAAACTAGAGAACAGGAGAGAAACGTTCTTTATATAGAAAGAAAAGTTTACGGTTCCTCTTTCATAAAAGGACAAAATTGGATACATTATTTTGATTCACATCAATAACTATATATATATATATGTGAATATATATTTTATACATACACACATAATTGTAAATTGTTGAACTGCACAACTAAAATGCCTAATTTCTATCTTCCAACCAGAGTTACCCTAATTTCCTAGTAACTTGTGAAATAAATGTTAAAAACCTTTTTGTAAAAGCTTCAGCTCAGAAGTAGAGTGTCTGGACTGAGGTCTTAGTTTCCAGAACTGTTCTACTCTGTAATAATCTCCCAATTGCTCTGGTTCTCAACCTTATTGCCTTCTCTACCACTCTTCTTCTCTCCTTTGGCTTAATAAATAATCTTGTTTTCCCATCATCCCTCCTACCTCTCTCATATCAACGTTTACCTCACAAAATCAAGAAATTTCTTTTCTAAATTCTACTTTCCCTAATAGATTCCTATCCTATCTGTTTTGATTTTTCAGAAAGGACAGATGTGAACAGTTTCCTGGGTACCACATGTAGAAATATGGGAAAATATTAAGAGAGTTTTACAATCTTCTGCCTGACTATCATGTTACTGGGGGCAGAAATCTGTACAGAGCTGATAACTGGGGGCAAAGAGCTCTGGGGAAGAGGAATGTGGCAGGTCCTACCAAAGTGGATATAAAGGTGAAATTTCTTGTGTATTATATATTACACAATAATCCTTACCAGAAACCATCACCACAGATGAGGTATTAAACTAAATAGTCCAAATATTTGGCCAAGAGATATTTTCTAACTCTGTCCTTGGTCAGCCAACAGTGAGCTGATGAACAGAGTAACCACAGTGACTGAGATGGGGACTTTGCATTGTTTGGCCCAACAGCATGGGTTCCTTCTCACTAAGGGTAAGCTAATACTGCTGCTTATCAATGTTGGAAATGCTAGCAAGAGATACCAACATGAGCCCTGTAAGGGGCACTATCCCTCAATGAGATCAACCATCCACTTGGTGGCAAGTTGATTATATAAAAGGGCTTCTTATCCATTCATCCTGATGTATGTTTCTGATACAGTTTTACCTTCCTTTCCTATCCACAGAACCTTAGCCAGCCATATACTTTGTTAATCTATCAGTTCTGAGATGGAAAGAGATTATTTTTACCAAAAAGTTTTTAGGCAAGATACCAAAATTACCACCCTTTTCCAGGAAAGATTGACTAATCAGTGTCAAAGACTGGTGGCCTAGCTTAATTATATGTGACTTGAAAGTAGGATGGCTGAGTACACGGCTGAACCACTATAGCAAATAGCAAAGTTAATCAACACTGCTAGTAGAAGGCAAGCTTGTTTCTTTTTTCTTTTCTTTTTTGCTCCTTTATTTTTGATTGGTACTTTCTACATATATATGTAGAAAAGTAAAATTCCCTCTGGTACATTTATATATATATATGCATATAACATAATTTTATTAAATTCATTACATATTTCCTCCCCTTTCTCATTCTTCCTCCCTCTCATTCTCTACCTTCTTGATCTTTCCTACATAATTATGATATCCAAGCCTCACCTCCAGTTCCTTCTTTCCCTTCATGTGACCCTTGATTTTCTGAGTCTTGCTAATTTTGCATAGTGTGATGTTCTCTATTTCTATCTATTTACTGGCAAATGCTATTATTTCATTCTTCTTATGGCTAGCAAAACTTCACTGTATATATGTAACACATTTTCTCCATCCATTCATCTATTCACAGACATCTGGACTGATTCTATAAATTGGCTCTTGTGAATTGTGCTGCTATAAACATGGCTATATCACTACAGTATGTTGATTTTAGTTCTTTTGGATAAATACCAAGAAATGGGATAGCTAGGTCATATGGTAGTTCCATTCCAAGTTTTTTGAGGAATATTCACACTGCTTTCCATAGTTGTACTAATTTACAGTCCCACCAACAATGCATGGGTGTATCTTTTCCCCACGTCCTCACCAGCGTTTGTTATTTGTATTCTTGATAATTGCCATTCTGACTGATGTGAGATGAAATCTTAGTGTAGTTTTGATTAGCATTTGGTTGCTAAAAATGTTGAACATTTTTCCATATACTTGTTGGCTGTTTTGCTTCTTCTTTTGTTCATTTACTGATTGGGTCATTAGGGTTTTTGGTGTTAAATTTCCTGAGATCTTAATATGTTCTGAATATTAATTCCCTGTCAGAAGAACAAGTGGCAAAGTCTTTTTCTCTCCATTCTGTAGGCTCTCTCTTCAAGCTTAAACCTTTGCTCTGCAGGAATGTTTTTAATTTGATGGCAGGCCACATATTCTTGGTTTTGTTTCAAGAGTCTTGTTGAGGATATTGGTGGCTGCACATATATGATGGAATGTTGACCCTATGTTTTCTTCTAGCAGTTGCCAAGTTTCTTGTCTAATGTACAAGTCTTTGATCCATTTTGATTTGACTTTCATGCAGGGTAAGAGATAGGGATATAATTTCATTCTTCCACATATATTTATATATGCAGATATATCCAGTTTTTTGAGTACCATCTGTTAAAATGCCAGTCTTTTCTCCAACGTGTATTTTTGGTACTTTTGTCAAGTATCAGATGGCTGTAAGTATATGCATTTCTCTCTGTGTCTTCTATTCCAGTGGTCTTAATTTATATTTTGATGTCAATGTCATGCTGGTTTGCTTTTACAGCTCTGTAGTATAGTTTGAGATCAGGTATCATGATATCACCTGCATCACTCTTCTTGCTCAGAATTACTTTGGTTATTCTGGGTCTCTTATTCTTCCAAATAAATTTAAGGACTATTTTTTCTAGTTCTGCGAGGAATGTTATCAGTATTTTGATGGGGATTGCACTGAATCTGTACATTGCTTTTGATAGTATGTCCACTGTGACAATATTAATTCTGCCTATCCAAGAACATGGAAGATCTTCTCATCTTTTGAGGTCTTCTCTAATTTGTTTCTTCAGTGTTCTATAGTATTCACTGTAGAAATATTTCACCTCCTTGGTTAGATTAATTCCCAATATTTTATTTTTTATAGGTTATTGCAAAAGGGATGGTTTTCCTGATTTCTTTCTCAGCTAAATTGCTGTCATAATATAAGAATGCTATTGATTTGAATGTTGATCATGTATCCTGCTACTCGCTGAATTCATTTATCAATTCTAGAAGTCTTCTGGTGGAATTCTTGGGGTTTTCTAGATATCCATGACATAAGCAAACAGAGACAGTTGGGATTTCTTCTTTTTTTATTTTATCTATATCCCTTTAATTTCCTTCTATTTCCTGATTGCTCTAGCTAGAATTTCAAGAATTATATTGAATAGAAGTGATGAAAGTGGACACCCTTGTCTTGATCCTGACTTTAAAGGGAAAGCTTTCAGTTTTTTCTTAGTTTAGTATGATACTCTCTTTGGGTTTGTCATGTACAACCTTTAAAATATTGAGATAAGTTCCTTCTATGCCAGTTTCTCCAGTGTTTTTTTTTTTTAACATGAATGGGTTCTGTATTTTATCAAAGGCCTTTTCTGCATCAATTGATGCAGATGATCATATGATTCTCATACGTATTTTTGGTACTTTTGTCAAGTATCAGATGGCTATAAGTATGTGTTTTTAATTCTATATAAGTAGTAAATTACATTCATTGATTTATGTATGTTGAACCAATCTTGCATTCCTGGGATGAAGCCCACTTAATTATGGTGTATTATCTTCTTGGTGTGTTTTTTAATTTGGTGTGCTAATATTAAGGATTTTTGCATCTATGTCCTTCAGGGATACTGTTGTGTAATTTTCTTTCCTTCATGCATCTTTGTCTCATTTGAGTACAAAACAATAATACACAGAATCAATCAATATCACAAAGAATTGTTTTGCTTTGTTTTGTTTTGTTTTGTTTTTTGGTATATGACTGAAAAGCCCTTAGCCAAACTAACCAAAAGAGAAAAAAGACCCAAATAAAGATTAGAAAAGAAAATATCACCACAGACACTTCTGAAATCCCGAAGACCATTAGAAACTATTTTTAAAAATTATACTCCAATAAACTAGAAAATCTAGAAGACATAGACAAATTTCTAGACACATATTACCTGGCTAAATTGAACCAGGAAGATAGAGAAAACCTAAATAAATAGACTTATAATCAAACAATGAAATTAAAACAGCAATTAAAAACCTTCCAACAAAAAAAAGCCAAGGACCAGATGGATTCTCAGCTGAGTTCTACCAGACATTTAAAGAAGAACTTTTTTTTTTTCAATTCCATGAAATTGAAAGGGAGGAAACACTCCCAAATAAATTCTATGAAGCCAGTATAACTCAAAACCAAAATTGAACAAAGACACATCAAGGAAAGCTGATTTCTTTATCACTAGTTTTGTCTCCATAGCCAGACCAATGATCATAGAACTCAACATCAGAATATACAACTGGGAGCT